GGGGCAGTAAATGTAAGTTGAGATGGCATCAGGCAGAAGGAGAGTATCCCACACAAGATGCAGACACAGGCAGATAACCAACTTGAGTTTCCTGCTATCAGTCAGTTCAATGGGCAGAGAGATAAAGGACTGAACTGTTGGGAGGATCTCGTGACTCATCTCTGTGGCCCTTTGTGGGCATCAGTGGTAGGCTGAGCAGGAGGCCAGTTGTTAGGTGATACACCAAAAATAACTACTCCATCTTTAAAAGAGAGCCTTCGGCTTGACAATCTGCATACCATTTGGTTACTGTTGCTTAGAGCTAGTAACACAGAATAACACAATAACCCCATCACTGCACAGTGAAGAATTCGTATGTGCACATGCTCAGAATTGGCACTGGGCAAATGTCTTCCAGAAGTTAATGAGTAAGCTTGCACTGCTTTGATTCTTAAGTCTGCATTTGTAGTTAGCAATCAACTACCTGCTCATGTCATAGAAATAACCATTATTAAACTTCTAAATTAAGTTGAACAAAATTATCTGTGTTCTTCTATCGATCGATACCATAATAGTACTTCTTTTCTGTAAGGTCCCAAATGCAGTCATCACTAAATGATGCATTCCGAATTAAGCTCATCTGTACTTTAGATATATATTAGTTTTGTTTAGTTTGAGGACAAGGATAATCTTCTATAAACCTATCTTATATGGGGGGCACTTAATTTGGACAAAATATGCAAGCAAATGATATTATGTCATGGTTCAATATTAATTCTTAGAAGATTCATATGTGGGGGTTGAATATGTGGATTTCTGAATGCAGAAAAAAATGAAACAAGTAATCTAGAATCCATCCTAGTGTGAGTGAAATAATATACTTTCTGTGCATGATCCAGTCGGCCCTAAAGTTTGATCTGTTTATTCTTACATTTCTCCTTTTGGCTGTAGAAATACTACCTCAGGGTTTCTCCAGGTTCATGAATTCCTATGAAAGTAAGTACACAGGAAATTCTGGAAGGAAATCTTTTTATTATTTGATTGTTTTTCATGGTATTCTTGATGGTGAATTTCAGAGGTAAGCAGGTAAATTAATTTGAATGGCAATATTTAAATCATTTGTATCATTTACTGCTTTAGATGCAAATGAAGATATGTATAAGACCCACAAGTGGACAGTATGCAGAGAGTGAGACACTTTGGAGTGCTCATCCCTTATAGGATATCTTTATCACATCCCTCCCTTCTAGGACCAGGAGTGTGGGAGCACACAGAAAAGACTGTAAAAGCCAGATGTGGTAGATGCTTTTAAGGAAAGAGTTCCAGACAAAACATGCAGAATCACATATGCATGCACAAGACTAGAAAACTTAAGACAGACAAAAATTTTAGCGTGAAGATGGGGAAGTGCGTTGGTAGCCCTGCCTCTGCCAAGAAGATATTTAAAATTGATAACTGCTGGGAGAAGTAAAACCAGTTTTGTCTAGTGGAGTCTCACTGGGTATATCAACCACACTCCAAGGCAGGAGTAAACGGCCAATAAAGGAGTAAGCAGCCAACACAAATCAGACTCTGTTTGTTTGTTTGTTTGTTTTAGGGGCTCATTTCTTGTTTTGGGGAGCGAAAGGATATGACTTGATTGGAGAGGATCTGGGGAGCTTGGAGGCCAGGAAAAAAAATATGATTAAAATAAACTGTATGGAATTAGCACAGAATAAACAAACACTGCAAAAAAAATTAGAAGATATTTAAGGAGAAGGTAAACAAGATAAAAAATTCATATTTTTCTACTTTTAGATACTGCCCTTTACCTAAAGAACTGAAAATCAACACAATATCCTTCTTAAGTAGGTGTATCTTCTACTATATTTCTATACTCTAAACATGTTAGGAAAGAGTTAAAGATGCTACTTGGAAAGTTCAGGCAAGAAGACATTCATTGTGCTTCAGATCAGCAATTTTGAGTGTTTAAACAAAAACATAGTGATGGGGGCCTTGCACACTTCATTAATTTCACATTAATTACATGCCAGCACAAATATGCCATGTTTTGAAATTTTTTCTTTAAAACATATTATCTAATTACCAAGAGAGCTTTGTCACACTCTAGAGATTGTTTATTAATAAAAATCAGTTAAAACTTAAGAGAGATGAAAACAACAAGTCAATTAATTTTTGGCGTGGATTTTCAAAATATAAATTACATTTATTTAATCTTTCCCACAACACATGTGTGGAGGTCAGAAGACAACTTGAAGGAATCAGTTCTAAGTCCCGGAGATCGAACTCAAGTCATCTGACTTGGCAGCAGGTACCTTTACCTAAGAGCCATTGTACTGGCCCTGGTATGGTTTGTTTGAAGGATCTGTTTGCATTTGTTAGCACCCATTTAAAAGGCCGAGTTGTGTAAAAACACTCAATTAGCTGACTACTTAAATATACTTGTTTTCCCAACAAAATTATTGGTCTATTTAGAGATTTTTATTTTTAATAATGATATCAAACTATCACATAAATTTAAGTGAGCCCATTAGTAAATGAAACACAATCAAATTTTAAAATACAGTATAAATTTGCAATGTATATTTCAGGTCCTAATACACAACTAAGTATCAACTGGAGGATTTTAAATAATATTTCATCTAAGAAAAATAAAAAAAAAATTGAAAGTAAGTGATTACATACTCCTCTGAGTATTATTAAAACACTGGATGCTAAGATACTATTCAGTAAACAGAATTTTTTGTTTTGTTTTATATTGTGGGGGAAAGGATTTCAAGACAGGGCTTCTCTGTGTAGCTTTGGAGCCTGTCTGGGAATTCTCTCTGTAGACCAGTCTGGCCTCGAACTCAGAGAGATTCACCTGCTTTGCCTCCCAAGTGCTGGGATTAAAGGCATGTGCCATCAAGCAGATTTAAACTTGAATATGTTTTAACTATTTTTCCCAAAGTGTGGGAATTTTTGCTTAAAATACAATTTTAAAATTATTTTGATGAAGAAAGAAAAATATTTCTGTGGTCCATTAAAAATAGAATAACAGTATTGGGCCAGGTGGCTCAGTAGCAAAGCCTTGCCTTGTATGGGCCAGGTCTGAGTTTGATTCCTGAACAAAAGATGGCATTTTGGAGACTGAAAAGTCCTGTCACACACATTATCTTTTCTTGTTCTTTGCAAATTAAATACTCATTTCCTACTTTCTATGAGGTGGTTTTACTGGTGATTCGGAAAACTTACCTTTATATGATACTGTTGTTAACCCCTTAGCAGAAGCAGGAAATAACAATTTAGTCGTGCTTGTATAATACTTCCTGTTTTGTTTGGTTCTGCTTTTAAATCACGTTTGTTGCTTCTGAATCATGCAATTTATCCTTTTGTGATCCAGTTTTCTGAAACCCCTCTTTCGCCTTCACCTAACTGTGTGATATATACAGCTTACTGAAGAGGAAAGTGTTGTATATGCACTTACAGTGTGTATAGTTTAGTGTAGAGTGGAGTCTGTATAAGTGCTTATAGTGCGTACAGCTTACTGAAGAGTGGAGTGTGTATTTGCACTTCTTTTCTGAATGTTAGTCTGGAATCTTCACCAATGGAAAATCATCAAAGACTATTTGGGGCATTTTCATTTGTCTTTGCTGTTATTTTAAATGCTGTTTGATTTACTTTTTAGCTTTTCTTCAGTGAGTGTTCCAGAGGTAAGACTGAACAAGAATCAGAAACACTGTTTCAGCCACTCGTGTCCTGAGAAGCTAAAACAAGAGCATAGTTAACTTCAAGCTACGGATTTGCTCCTGACATCTCAACACAATGTTGTTTCTTTGTCAGCTCTTTAGACAAACCATTCACAACAGAAACAGGAGAGAGAAGTCTCATATCTTTGTTGATGCCCCAAAGTTCTGATTTTCTCCTTAATACATTTACTGGGACTTAATGAAATGTAACTAAAAGAAAAAAATGGAACACAACTGGAAATGCTTATTAAGTGTCCTGGTATCTAAGTCCTTGAGAAAATGAATGGGAGGAGAAATGACAGCGGTGAAGAATTATTACACTTTGGTCATTAACTATTCAAACTACAGCTAACTAAGAGGCTGTCAACGGCTGAGATACATCATAGATCTGGGTGTGCCACCATTCCAAGTGATCACAACAATCCAATATTTTCCATTTCTGGGCTTTTATTTTAGACTTAAATTTTGAGCATATTTAGTTTGCTATCACCACATGAATTTCATAATGTTTTCTCAAACTGTAATTATAATCTTAATACAACCAAGCAGATTAAAAAAAAAAGTCTCCCCCATAGAAACAAAATTTTTGAATGGAACTAAGTAAGAATATTGGAGTTTATATGCAAAAAAACCTACCTTATATATGGATTCTTAAACCACAGCTATTATATATACATTTTCATTGAACAATCCAAAACCATCAATAATTGCATAAAGGCACCTGCTAGGTTAACCAGAGTTTCTTCTTAAACTATAATTTTCCATAAACTGCTTTTTAAAAATAAAGTGTCTAAGTCAGTCTCACTTTAAAAGAAAATCAAGCCCTAAAAGTACTAGTTAAGTTCTCACTAAATTTGGTCAGGTTTTCAAAGACCCAGGAAGAAGCCTCCACCTCTCTGTCCTCATAGGGCAGCACCTGCCTAACTCTTTTAATATTAAATGTAATACAAAAACCTTCATGAAACATGGCTTCTCCACAATCTTTGTTGCAACTGTCCAGCATATATATCTACTGTCATTAAATTGATTATTTCCCTATTTTGCCTACTTTTAATCTTTCGTCTCCATATCAAACTGCCTGGAAAATAGCCTTTTTGTTTCTGATTTTTAAAATTTTAAGGATTAAAATAGTCATTCAACTAGTTCTTCCATAATGTTCCATCATTCTATAATCTGGAAAGGGCTACGTGAATGAAAACATGATTCCACTTAGAACACTATAGTCTGGACCAAATACTGTGACATCAGGCAAGAAATGCCATTCATTGTTATATAAAGAGACATCAACTCCAGTTCTCAGAATTGTTCCTTTAATTAACAAGAGACATATTGTTATCGTTCTTATTGAACGGGCAGTTAACATTTGCAGATGTGAAAATCATAAGGAATCAGCTCATTATTAATATTAAAAATTCTTTTTGACAACATAATATGGCAAGAACATTAGATTTAACTGTGCCATTGCCCTTACTATCGCAGCTTAGTTATTTTTCCTATCCAAGTGTGCTTAACTAGGATAGGAGGGATCTTTAACTCATATAAAAGCTCGATGTGTAGCCCAGACGATTTACTAGAACAAGTGAATTTTAATAATTACATCTTTTTCAAAGGTATTTCAAAAATAAGGGGAGATAATCTGAATGGCAAATGACAATACTCTTACTCTATAGGTATCTTAGCTACCTCAATAGTACTTTTTGTTCATGAATAAATCAGTTAGGATTTTTCTCCCTGGGTCTTTGTCTGTGTGGGAAACTGAATAAACACCCACCCTCCCTGGCCTGCCCTGAAACCACATCATGATCCCAGGAACCTATGAATTTTTATCTGTCAAAAGGGATGTGGCACATGATTGGGGAGGCTGAGAGGGCAAAGATCAACCTGGATTTTCTAGCAAACCCTAAATAGGAGTCCTTGCCGAAGCCAGGAGATGCGATAGCAGAGAGGAACATATGTGACCCTGGAGGCAAAATTGAAACTTTGTAACTAGTAGTCAAGAAATGGCCTGCAGCCCAGAAACTGGAAAAAAAAGTGGGGGGGGGAACAAAAACAAAAAACAAAACCAGTGTCTCTTTAGAGCCTCCAAAAGGAAGTAGCTTTCCTAACATCTTGATTTTAGCCCTTTTAGGCCTTGACTTTGAAATTTTAACCTCCAGAACTGCAAGGAAGTAAATTTATGTTGGTACTAAAGTTAAGTAATTTGTTATGGCATCTATCGGAAGCAAGTCTTCTGTGATTTGAGGAAATCCTACACACCTTCAGGTTTGTGGAGTTTCATTTTGAAGTACCCCTAATAAAATAATTTCTCACTGATTATTTGGAAGATAATATTCTTTGTTTTAAGAAATTGCTGAATATGTGCACATCTTCAATGAGAGACATCAAACACTAGTGGATATATCTGTTCATTTCTTTTACCAAGTTGAAGAGAAACTTTACTTTACTAATTTGGATGTTTGGTAGCCAAAGCTGTTGAAATACGAAATGCACGAATCTTGCAGAAATCAGCTTCTATGTTTATTAATCTACCTGAAAGAAAAAGCAGAAAAAAAAACCCCAAAATCAAAATATAAAATCTTCCATTTTGCTAAAGTTTATGTTGCTATATTTTGAATTTGTCTATATTAGTAATATGCTTAATGTTTGCTGATGACTTACTTAGTTCATTAAGTCACTACCTGTAACAGCAAAACATGTAGTTGTCCTTAGCGATCAGAATTAATACCTTTATTCTTATGAGCCTTTAAAAGAGCTCAGGGTCCTATTCTTCCTCCCTGACTGACCAGAACAAGAATATTAAAAGGGAGAAAGAACAATAGGAAAAGAAAAGATTCCTCAAAGCAATTTACATTTAAAGATGCACTTTGAATTTTCTTCTATTTTGCCAAATAGCTCAATCACGTATCTCAGATTTCTGTCCAATAAATATTTCTCTGGTTATTTACAAAGTTGTTTTTTCATTCTAAGTGCTGTAAGTAGCCACATGATCCTGGTGGGCATCCTGATTTTTAAGGCATACTTATCAGCCTGTGAAGGGCTAAGTGACATACATGCAGCACAGTCAATGGAATCATTTATAGACATACATAGGCATCAAAACATTTCTGGAGGATGCAGATAGTACTGGCTTGGGTGTGTGGCGAGTGAAGGAACTGTTGAATTAGAGAAACAACTGTGATCTGTGCTGCATGGAGAATGGCTACTTAGGGCTCATCTTCACAAAGTCTTTCTTGTAATCAGAAATACTTTCCTAGGTTTCTTTGGGCTTTGAGTTTAAGGATTTTCTATAAAATAAGTATTGTCCTATAGATTCTTTACAAAGTTGTTCTCCAGAATAGTAGCAGATTGAACACAATTCACCTCCTTTGCTTGGATCTTGAAAGCAGCTACTCAGGGTTATTGAGATACTGTTTCTATATGGTTTTCGGAGTGAATGTAACATGGCTCGCTCTTAATGCAGTTGTTTTTAAATGTGAAACAAAACAAACCAAAAACAAAGGCGAAATCTTTGAAACCTCAGGTCTTTGAATGTTCTTTCATACAGTCTGATCACATTTACAGGCGTGTCCAGAAGGAGAGGATGGACAACATCAGTACCAGCACTACTTCACACAGAAACTTCCTCATATTCTTTAACAGTTCATAAACAATGTCCCATTTCACCCAAAGTTACAAAAGTTTCCACAGTTTCCCTTAGCAAGCTGAAGCTCACTCTTCATTTGTCAATGTGCATAAAAGCTGCTTATAGCATAGCATGGTGTAAGCTATTTCTTAAGCAATAAATGGTTTGAGTCATCTATTTTGTCCTGGAATGCTATCTGTAGTTAACTGCATTGCTTATAAATGGTCATAGTAAATTCAGCATGAAAGAGAATATTACAGAAAAGACAGCAGCAGAAGCATTAGCATTATCTAATATTTATATATGTTATCAACAGAACACAGCAGTGAAACATTTAAATGCATATCAATGGGTACCATGTCTAAAAATTACTATCATACCTATTTAGTGTAGTGGATATTTTTCTTAAAGAGTGCTTGCTGTAACTAGAACAGCATAATATGTGATTTAGTAAGTTAATTCTTATTGATTAAATAATGTATTTATGTACGGAAGATAGTGAAAGGAGACAGGTAATTTTTTTTTCTTTTTTTTTTCTTTTTGCTTCATTGTGATCCCAGATTTAACACTTAAATGAAGATTCCAAAGGATCATGACATGTCATTATCTAACTGAAATGGGCATTGACATATTCAAAAGACAGTATTTGTACTGAAACAGCAAGATGGCACCAGATACATGTAATGCTACTGGCCTATGACTCAACGGGAGCCAGAGTCCAAAATTGTGCCCCTCATTTACAGTCGTGGTGATTACTCAAAATTCAGAGAACTGCCCACAATTATTCTTATCCTTTACAAGTCATCTGTAAAGCGAAATGGAATAGAAAGAACAACAAATGCAATTGCTAAATACTTTTTTTTTTACAAGAGGTGCAAAAACAGTCATTTCTAACATTAAACTGCCATTTACAGTAGATATTTTTTGTACACCTGCGAAAACGTCAGTAATGGTGGGGAAATGCTCAAGGCAAATGGTCTCCAAGTAGATATTTACACAATATCAAATCAAATGTACCGTAGATACCGAGAAAATTATCTTACGTTATTATGAAATAGAACAAACATGATATAGCTTCATCATACAGAAAACCCGTAGGACCCCATCCCAAGCCTAAGTACAAATGAATTCCTAGTTCCCTCTGCCCATTCACCCACCATCTTCCTGTTACACAGAATGAATGTCTAGATTACTCCCACCCACCCTCAAATAAAGTGCGCAGTCCATGGCAGACCATAGAATAATGCAACAGGAAAAGCCCCCTTTTGTATTATTACTTAAAAAATAAAATACAAACAACAAAAATAAAACAAAGATTGAAGAGAATTCGGTGATTCTCTCTATCTTGAAAAAAAAAAAAAAAGAGGCGAAGCACGGGGTGCCCTGCTTGACTGTCACTGGTTTTAGTACACGTAGCCTTCGTTGTAGGGGTGGGGGTTGCAGCAGCCCCCTTCTGGCATGTACGCCATGCTCTCATCAAAGTGAGACAGAGGCACCGTGTCCTCCTCGTTGATGTGGCGTTCCATGTCCGTCTTCAGCAGTGGGCGCTGGTTATCCGGAAAGGCCATGGAGAAAAGAGCTTCCGGGTCACAGACGAATTTGTAGACATACCTCTCTCCAGCCACCTGAGAATATCATGGAAAAGTCACCGTCCCCACATGGGTAGGGGAGAGAGAAACAAACAAGCATTAATACACCAGCAGGGATGGAGGGCAAACAGAACATTTGACTAAATAACACACACACACCTTCGTGGGAAAAATCTTTACGTGGTGAAGTAAACCATGGTTCAATCAAGGCAAACACAAAATGTTGACCTAGATTAATAATTAATTTATGCCACAAATAGCTAGGAAACTCAGCAGTTTGCTTTCCCCCGCCCCTTTTAACATAAAGGTGTGCTTACACTGCCATTTGGGAAAGAAAACTCAGCGATGTAATGCCAGCAATTCCCATTGAAGTTTTTGTTTTAATGGTAACATCTATGCTTTTGAAAATGTCTTCAAGCTTTATCTTCCCCTATTATATTTCTACAACTTGCAAGTTTTAAAAGGAAAATGTGCTTTATTCCTAATAAGACTACACTAGTCATCACTAATTCCCAAGATGCACTGCTTCGTTCCCTTTCATCTTCCCCCTGGCACTGTGCATTCTCATCTAAGAAAACTCCAAAGATACATAGCCTTATTTAAATGAAGGATGGAGCAAGAGGACATTATCCTGAGCACATCACTTTTTAAAATGAAGGCAAGATACATTAGATGAAGCTTAAGGATGTGTGTAAAGTGTCAAATTGAAGTAAGAGGCGCAAAAAAAAAGTGAAAGGAATCTAAAATACACACTGGGAAGGGAGGAAATGAGAAAAGGAAATGTGACAACTGCCTGAAATAAAGGAGATGGAGCACAATTTGTAGGGAAAGACATGTCCCAAACTTAAGTTTTGAAGAGTAATGCTTCTGTAGAAAATGATAAACAATTGAAGGAGACAAATGTACCTGCCATTAATAGACAATGCTGAGGAACTCAAGACCCAGGGGTGTGATGGGGAACAAAGGCAATTCCTTGTGCTAACTTTGCTGTGTGTGTGTAGCTCACAATTTCAGAAAGCTGAAAAGAATTGAACGTCTCATGTTTCTGTGTCTAAAGGTCTTGCTAGTTGATTTGTGACATGGGGAAACAGTGTGCTCACAGTTTATAAACTCTCTGTACATGTTTGGGAGAGAGGGAATGACTGCCAAGGATCTCTGCTGCTCTGGACTCAGATTTAGAATATTTGCTGCCCTGAATTTAAGTAAAAGGAACCATATTAGAGTCCAAATAATCTGGATGTCCAGAGGTTTGAAAGAGCCAACACTGAGCAATGTTTATGAATCTGGACATGTTTCTTAAACTGCCCTTTAGTTCCTTGTCTTGTGAAATGGAGACAGGAAGGGCTGCTTGGAAAGCCAGCTGTGATACATAGAGGGAAGTCTCTAGCCCAACGCAAAGCAAATGGAGGCATCTAGCTTAATTTTTTTTCCTTTAGTCCTCATTACAAAAAAAAAAAATTGAACTAATGAAATGACTGCAAAAAATGAAAACCAGGCAGTATCAGACAAAAGCTAAGAGATAATAAAGCTTAGCTTTCTTTCCATTTTGCTTTATTTTTCAAAGTATTTTAAGGAAATAAAAGTAAAATAAATGCTGTACTCTGTATGCTTCTGTGTGTTTTATATTTTATAGCCCACTCTATTTAGTTTAGGGCTGCAAAAAATAATTGTTTGTCTTGGGTACTGCACCTGATACTCTGTCTGACATGTTGAGGTTGTCTTTAATTAGAAGCAATGTAATAAATGAAAAGCATTTCATCATGAGGAATTTAAATGCACAAGATGCAATTGAAATGACAAAATCTCCTAGGGACTTTTTGTCATATGCTTCTTCCTAGTTTTCTCTAAATAAACATTGTTTCTTGTGCTACTATTGTAATTGTCACACTGTTAGATATTGCTGGGCTTAGAGAGCTGACAGACATATAGAGTAAAAGATGCCTTCCTCTGTTAGGGATACAACCAGTGTCAGAGATCCTGACTATTAGGTGAAACTTATGCAACAGTGAGATGAAAAAACACAGAAATTTTGTGGGGTGCTATATCAGCAGTAAACAGGGAGAATGGTGTGTTGTCAAAACCTGGACAGATTTAAATTACATTTCAACTTGGAGAACGTCAAGGTAGCTCAGCAGGTTATCGAACTTGCCTCCAAGTCTGACAACCTGAGTTCAATCCCTCAGACCCACAGAGTGGAAAGCCAGACCTGCTTAACTGCAAGTTGTCATTCTGATTTGCATATGTACACTGATGGTACACATACTCACAAACACACACTAAAACAATATAAATTTTTCTCAAAATTTGGAGGAAATGGAATGGAGGCATATTTGACCCAATCAAAGTATATCTATGAAAGAATATTAAATAAAATAAATAAAATCTCAAATGTAAAAGGTAAAACAAAAAGAAACAAACAGAATTATATAATGCAGAATACATTTTTCTAGGTATTGCTAAATTTTTGACTAGATGTGCAGATATTTTTTTATACAAAGTACGAGTATTTTTCTAACACTTCTTAGTTCTGTTTCAGAATTACTGAAATTAATCATTTAAAATGTTTTACTTGTATTAACCCATTTGGTTAATTGTATCTTATTCTCCAGGCTTCTAATTGAATTGTTCTTTATATACATCATAAATGTCTAATTACAGTTTTAAGCCAATGAAGAAATAGCATCATACAAACTTGGAATGTAATTCCCCATTATATATTTTTATGTAATGAGAAGGGAAAGCATAGAGTTTTGAATAAACTATGCTACAATTTACATTAACCATCCGAGGGGAACATGCAGTAATAGTTGCAATGAAAAAGGCAGAATATTCTAGAAAGAACTCCCACAGGAGTTATGAGTGGGTCTTAGAGAAGCAGGGAAATGGTTGTATGTGTATGAAGATGGAAAGTACTTACTAACATGGCAAGGGACCTTGGTTGGTTGCTACCTACATACAGAGTCCAAGCTCTCCACGCTTTTGTGGTGAACCACCTGCCCTCCTAGTGCCAAGCAGTGGCATCTAAAAGGTCTGTGAAGTATTCACATGAAGCTGTAGTGCCCAGATTAGCAGTAAACCACCCAAGGCTGGAGGAAATAACAACAAATATCCACATGTTTTATCTTTATATATTCATTTATTCATGGCCTCCTTTATAAATGTTATATTTTAAATACATTTTTATCTTCATCCATGTTTTGGGATTTTACACAGAACAACTTTTAAATATTAAAAGAAGCTCATTTGAATTAAAAGAAATAGAACTTGGTTCTGCCAACCAAATATGATGAAACATTTATTTCAAGTAAGTGGTTTGGGATATTAAACTGTCAAGTGATAAAATCAGGCAAGATATGGAGCAAGAAAAAAGGTGTTTTATTTTTTTCTAATAAGAACAAATGATGCCTGAGTGTTTTAAGAATCAGAACAAGAAAAAAAAAGTACAAGCATTTCAAAAATGTGTGATTGTGGGGCACACTAAAAGCACAGCTTCTAGAGACATATAGATCTAGTATCGGAGTGAGAGAACTTTTGTTATTTGGTAGATATTACTATATATTTATCTCCAGTGTCCATGACTTTTTAACAGACTTGTGATGCTCCAAGCCGGAGCCAAGTATCTCCTAACATGTGTGAAAGCCTGACTGGAGCAAGGTTGTGATTATGAGATTTTAGGAATGACTTGGGGACCATTGGTGGGCACATCACAGTGAGTTCAAATGTAATATCACCTCACCTTTTGCATGATTCCCTTCTCATAGTAATATCGGAGAGAACGGCTAAGTTTGTCATAGTTCATAGCTGGCCTGTTCTTCTGAATGCCCCAACGCCGGGCCACCTGTCACCAAAACAGAATCACATTCTTAGTCTTCATCAATCACATCGTTTAGTGTTAGTGGCTTACACACACAGACACACACACAGACACACACACACACACACACACACACACACACACACACACAAGTTCATCAATGTATGACTTCTAAACGCACAAAAACACCTCCAAATCCAAGGCACAAGTAAAGCAGCAATGGCCGTCATGATCTGAATTTCCTGTGTCCTGGTTTAAACCAGGCGTGCAGTCCTCTTTCTTAAAGGTCACAATAGAATTCTTTGTCACCATTGTTTGGGATAGAAATTAAATGGAAATAAGGGAATGTGTTTACATCAGGAAAGAACAGGCTGCAATTGACCAAAACGAGGCAGATTTTCCCTTCTGCGATACACAGGCTGTCTTTTCCTTTCTGGACTTTCAGACAGAAATTCCAGATGAAGAATGGCTTAATGATCCTTTTGTAAAGGTGTTTTATTGCATTTGTGACAAATCATAGGGAAAAAAAAAACGAGAGAAAGAGACCCTTCTCAGATTGTGCAAAAGAAATAACAATGGGCAGTGTGTCTGCCGAGGAAACAGTATGCCAATTAATAAGCTGAACCACAAATAATTGTTGTGGCCCAAAGCGGCCTCTGAAGAAAGCTAGAGCCAACAGCAAACTGGAAAATTACGCTCACTTAGGAAACATTAATTGGATGTTAAAAATAAGATGGAAGTGGAAAAGTCACCATGCATATGAGTCTTTTTTTTTTTTTAAGCAGAATGTCCAGTGTGGTTTAAGTAAAGATCTCAGAAGGGTTTACTAAGTGGCCATGTGGAGCACTGGGTCTGGCTGAGGCCCTCCAGCAGAGCTTTGGAAGCATTTCTCAATATGCTGCTCTACCTCACCATCACACTGGGCTGCTGGAGGCATACGGAGGAAGGAGAAGTCATATCCTTATTAATTCCTCTCCTTGGTAGGCTGAGGAGAAACCACACACAGTCTAAGCAAAGCCAGGAGACGTCTCTACCAGAGTACAATCTTCTGTTTCCATGAAATTCTGAGTTGTTGTGTCCCACAAAGGAACTCTGCAAAGCCTTCTATCTGTTCCTCTTCTCTTCATTAGCAACAACCTATCTGTTGTCCCCCTCCATCCCCTTTAAAAACAATAATCCTTACTCTTTCCTCTGTCACTAATTTGTATCCATGAAATGAACATTGAATGACTTTAATCACATGGGTTTCTCTACTATTTTGTGAGTAAAGTGACATGACGGAGCAGGGACAACTATTCACTCTGGCTAGTGTTATCCGCCAACTTTACAGTAAGTATTTTAAGTAATAGTGAATACAGCAGGGAAAGGTTAGTAATAAAATATAAATGCAAGCCAGGTATAGTGAGATATGCTGGTAATTGTAGCATAGGGGAGGTGAGCATGAGACTAGGGCTATGGCCAAAGAATCACAAGTTCCAGACAACTCTGGTGTAGGGAGACACAGTAGTCACGCACCCTAGGCGCTGGCTATAGGTGTGCCTGACCATGCCTGCCAGAGCGTGGTCAAGGTGAGGTCAGGAAGATGAGGGATAGGTTTTTAAGGGACTTCAAGGCATATGGCTGCCTCTTCTCTCTGGCCTGCCTGCCTTGCGGTCCCTGGCACGTTCTGGCTTACATTTGACTGGTGTTTATCTGAATAAAGATATCTTAACCTTATGGACTATGGATCAGCTCTCATTATACCCTGGGCTAGAAAACTCTGAAGTGTCCAAGAGAAAGGAGAGGAGGGGAAAGTAGGAAGGATAAGAGCAAGGGTAGGAGGGAGATCAGGAGGGAAGGACGGAAAGAGTTTGTTTTTTAAATAAAATCTTTCAAAAGTATAACAGTGATGTCACTGGCTCAGTAGAGACACAACTACAGTGCATGAGAATCTCAGGGAATGTGAAAAGTGATGGTAAGCAACACATTCCCCAAAACATTCATTCACAAATGAGTATTTTCTAGAATTTTACCAGAGTTCACTTTAAAATTAAAAAAAGCAGCAAACTTTAGGTGTCATAGGAATCTCTAGATAGAGTCACTTGATAATTGGAAATACTGTAAAAGAGGGTTGTAAGAGTTTGGTTCCTATAACGTCAATTAATTCTCCACACTGTGGATTATTAGTCTAGGCTTTAAAAAGTATGCCCTTAGACTTATTCTGTGTCACAACTGGCACAAAGTTAAGAGGGAAAATCAATATGCCTACACATTATAGACAAAAGGCTCTAAAATTAACAAGATGCATAAATAACTTTCAGGCCACCCAAAATCTAAGACAGTCCATTTGATCCCCATAAGCACCACCAATAACGTACACAGCATCACTTAGAGCTAAGGCACAATTGTCAGCATGAAGTCTCAAAGATAAGGTCAATACTTCTGATGCCTTTCTAATGAAGTACTTCAAATGGGAGTTTACATTGTTAAGAAGGAGCAGAAAGAGTATAGCGAGAGTTCAAGCATTACCCCATCCTTTTATTATATTAGGAAGTATATCTTTTCGGTGTTGGTGTTTGAGTCAGGACCCTGTGTGTATCAGTAACCTCCATCATCCAACCCACCAACTTTGGAAGGTAATGCTTGGCTATGGGACAGCGATCCTAAAATCAGGGTGAGGCAGTCTGACTTCCTGGTATCCATCTTGCTTGAGCATCATCAAGACTGTGACATGGAACCCTGCAGGGGTCTCACTGTGTTAAGGAATGTTTTCCCTAGGATGACTGATTAATTTGGAAATAATATACCACTATCTCATATACCTGAAAGAGAGAGCCGTAGTTGCTAATGTTATCTTAGCACACTGAGCCAATAAGCAGGACAGATTCAGAAGTTCACTCATCGCCTTAAACTAAGAGACGAAACATGAGAAAATAAAACCTGTAAGCAGTACAACATGGTGGCTCCCAAGACATCATTCATGGCTTGTGGTGGTCAACACTGAAAGATCTGTTACATAGCAGAAGGTGAGCGAGGCTCTGTGGGCCACACAGATGAAAATCATTCACAGATCCAAAGAAGCAATTGGAAAAGATAACACAGTCATTTGTCTGAGGACTATGATTGTAAGTGTGAGCTAGGCTAGGCAGCAATCAGAAATAGATAGGATATTTCATTTTTTATTTTTGTGTGTATGGGTGTGTGTGTATGCGTGCGCACGAGCATGCATGCATGTAAGAGGCTGATGATAGTGTCTTCCTCAATAACCCTTGACCTCATCTTTTCAGACAGGGTCTCTCACTCAACCTGTAATGTGCTGATCAACTAGACTAGGGTCAGTGTGTCCTTAGATCTTGCTGTGCCTTCCTCCAGAGCGCTGGGATTAAAGACGTATGCTATCACACCTGGCTTTTCTCATTGGCTGCTGAGAACAGAGACCAAATCTTCACTCTTGTAAGGAAGCACATTATTTACTGAGCTGTCTTCCCAGGCCCCTAGGAATGGATGTTGAACAAAAGCTCCGAAGACACGTGGTACCTATTGCACAACTCCCACTGAGCTAGTTACCATTTGGAAATAGTCAAAGGACTGAATTACTGGGTCTTGCTTTTGACTTTATGCACCTGTGACAGCCAAGTTGTTGAAATGTCAGCTGTATGAAACAGACGTGGTTGCCTATCTTTCTCGAGTTCAACTGATCACAAAAACTCAGAATAACTGGCCAGCTCGTCAGGTCTTCCACTCTTTTATTCAGACTCACACATCTAAATGCCGAGGGTTGTTGTACAAAGAACTTCATCACTTGTAGAATGTGGGCTCTTCTGAGTGTTTCAATGTTACTGACATCATTCAGTAATGTCTCCTGTTCTAACAAATATGACAAAAGTGAAATGTCTGTTTCTGCTCAGTTTATTTTAATCACAGGTGGAGGGAAATGGCTGTTTAACTGACACAAATCCCTGTTGAACTTCCCCAGTCCAACTCGCTTTGGTTATTAAAATCTTCCATGAAGGGGGAGCACACATTCCTCCGTCATGGTAATGGACTCTGTGACTATTCTGCTAGGCATTTTTAGTCTCTAAACCATATTTTTGTGGTTCTTCAATTACATCATTTCAGTACATCTACAGAAGACCAAAGTTTCTTTATAGCCAAATGGAGCTTTAAATGTACTACAGAACTTAAACACCCAAACATTTAGCAATGGCATTTCCCACTTTTGAGTCCTCTGTGTGTGTTTGGGGTGAAGCCAGGACTCTACTGCAAAACCAGCCCTCTGAACTGTTGCAAACTGGGAGAGACTATTGCATTCAATGGTAAAGGCCATCAAATAAATTTTACATTGTTTTGACCTACTTTCAAATTTAAAATATATCTACATAGATTCAAAACTTTGTATTACCTGTCTAGCATATTAACCAAGTCTGTTTACATTATAGAACATTTTGATTTCCTATTTAAAATCTACCAGACTAACCTCTTCAGGCTCAATCAGTTTAAATTCCATGCCTCGTCCAGTCCAGGCAATGAAATGAGAATTTGAAGGGTCATCCAGAAGAGCTACCAAAAACTGCCAAAGCTGAAGTGATCCTCGCCTCTGGTATGTGGGTCCTTCCCGGTACATTCCTGGCTCTTGCTTAATGTCTCCTAGATTTAAAATATAAACTATTATCAACAATATTATGTCATTTGTATAAAATTTACACCAAATCAACCATGAAAATAGTTAAACACAATCACTTCATGGATTTTGTAACAGTGACATTAAATATAGATTTAAAATAATCAAATGATTAAATGCAAACCAACAATCTACAGAAACTTGCAGACAGTATTAACAATGTGTAATCTCATTAATATAAATGCACACGAGTACAAGCAAATTCATAAACATCATTTACTTACAAAAACCTAATACAATTGTCTATCTTTCATTCACATCTTAAAAAATTATGGTACCTAATCACACTCGTTCGATTCTGCCGTGTTACTGCTGTTTCTCTCTCTCTTGGAAAGTGTAATCAGCTTTAAGCTCTGCGAATTTAACTTGTATGAATTAATTTCTACAAACTGTAATTTGTAGACAACCTTATTGACCCACGTATGACAAACTACTGAAAATCTGAGTGCACAAATTTCAAGGTAAATTTAGTAATATCATGAAGTTTGAGTGGCCTGCACTTTCTATGCATTGGGAAAGTCATGAAGAGTCTGCAGTGTTACCATATACCTTATGTGTCTTCCTCTGGAAGCCATTGCTTTTCACTGGGCAACAAAGGAAACAATGTTCACGATGAATAAAACTTGCCTGCATCTTGCTCATTAAATTTAGTTTTTGGGCTTTTGTTTTGTTGTGGTTTTCGAGACAGGGTTTCTCTGTGTAGACCTGGCCATCCTGGAATTCTTCTAAATAAAAGATCTGCCTGCCTCTGCCATCTGAATGCTAGGACTAAAGGTGATCTATACCACCTGGCTTGTTGGTCTGTCTTTTAAAAGACCAACTTAAGCATGAATGTACATACATTCCTTTAAACTAGATGGCCCAGAGACCTATGGTAGAACCAAATACAATTAACCAAAAAGTAAAACAAAAACCAACAGGCAGACAGACAAACAAAAATAGAAAAAAAGGAAGAAAGAAAAAAGAAAGAAAGAAAGAAAGAAAGAAAGAAAGGTAATGGTCCCTAAGGATATTCTGCTTTACTCATAAATCAGTGTCTAACCCAACAGACATCAGAAAGGCTTCCTTCAGGAGCTGATAAGAGCAGATACAGGGACCTACACACACTATGCCTAGTTCAGGGAACCTGCAGAAGAGGGGGCGGGGAAGAATTGTAGGAGCCAGAGGGGTCCTACATGACACCAGGGTAACACAGTCCACATAATCAACTAGGCAGGGCTCTTATCGGCTCCTGACAGAGACTGAGTCAGCAATCATGGTGCCTGTGTGGGTATGCCCTATGTTCTCTGCATACAAACTGTGAATGTTTAACTTGGGGATTTGTGCTGGACTCCTAACAGTGGGGTGGTCTGTGACTCTTGCCTGCTCTTGGGATCCTTTTTCTCCTACTGGGCTGTCTCCAGTCTTGATATGAGAGTATGTGATTAGTCTTGTTGCATCTTGTTAAGCCATGTTTGGTTGATATCCCTGGGAGGTCCATTCCTTTCTGAAGGGAAGGGAAATGGAGGAACAGTGGAACTGGGTGGGGAGGACTGGGAGGTGGGAAGGACGGAGGGAAGGCTGTAGTCAGGATTATTGTATGAGAGAATAATTAATAATTTACAAAAGTATGTATGTATACCAGAGCATTTTATGAAATAAATTTTTTAAGAAAAAAAAATGTGAGCTATGTTTACCTAGTATAAAAAAAGCATAAAAATTTAATATGAGTAAATGTGTTAATAATGCTTTTGCTAGATAACTGTTTTGCTTTTCAAAGCAAAATACTAAACCAGAACACTTGGTGTTGTGACCACTAATCATTTTCTTCTAACTCTGGCCATGCATTTCAAAACTATATTGGGTCTGCCTGTAATTCATACTGACTGGCTACTGCCTACAGAAAGATGCCATCTCTTCTTTTGTGAAAAACAATTCAGGCAGAATATAGTCAAGTAGCTCTATTCACACTAAGTGTGAACTACAAAAGAAACTAAATCACAAGCTTTCCAACAGACAGTAAGTAGAAATGCGCCCCATCACATGATCAGAAAAAAAGCAACACAAAACTTAAACAGCAACAAAACACACACACAATTATTCAGTCAATAGCCACTAAAAAATCAGCAAGTTCTTTTTTCTTTTTTTCTTTAACCGGGCAATACAGGAGTGTTTCTTCATGTTGATTTCAAAGTCAGTTTTATTTATCTCAGATTATTCCTTCTAATATTTCAAGTTTTTCCCCCCATGGAGGCAAGTGAGCAATCATGCAGACAGAGTGAAACTTTGTGAAATGTAGTTTCTATGGTGTTGAAGTCTATAAATGGTATTTATTCAATTAACTACATGCAAAAAGGTCCTCTTTGCTTTTCTTTTTGTTCTCTAATATTTAAAATGCAAGACATATGATATATATCATATTATATATAATGAAATTACAGTATTTAAAGTCAAAGAAAGTAAACTAGGACAGCCCGGTGCCAGCACTCTACTTTGCCCATAGTTTTAAGATAATTTCCCTCCTTATTTACCCTTACTAATTTTAACATTATTTTAAATGTGAAACTCACAATAAATGAAATGAATTCCAAAACGCAAGTTTTAAGCTTTATGTCAACACCAAAACCCAAATTTTAAGAACTATGAGGGACTTCTAACAAGGGTAGTTGACAAAACTCACATTTCTGAAATAGAGGTTTAAGGACTAGTATAGAAAGATAGAAAAGTGATTCCCTTTGAAGGTTCAACTCCATGACCTTTAACAAATTTAGCTACCTTAAGGGAGGCTAAAGAAATAATTTTCCTAAAACTTACCATCCTTTCCAAAAACTACAAGAGCAGCAAGAAGCTTGGCAGTTAAGCCCTCAAGTAACTAATTATAGGAGACTGAACAGCAATCTGAGCATACACTTTGCTGTTTAAATAATGACAATTAAAAACTCCAAGAGCGCCCAAGTCATTACAGTCGAGATCCCCAAAGTTTTTGCAATCAGCTAATCAGAGGGCCCCTGCTCATTTCCTGTTTGACAATCAAAGCAGGAAATACGGAGACCACTCCGAAGAACCAGTAAATGAATTAACCATTCACTTTTCCTCCAAGCTTCCTTGTAAATGTCAGCTTTTGCCACCACGCATGTCAAGAGAAGAAGATTCTATCTAGTTTGATGCTCTTTTCTAATATCTGGACCCTTTCATTGCACTAGCGAGAGATGTTTAAAAGGTAATGCTTTCCTTATTTCCTTTTAAGCAATTACAACATAATGCTACATTAGCAATGTACATCTTCCTTGGTGGGAGTGTGGGGGGCAAGCAATCAGTAAACTCAATGGGCAGTTATGTTGTTCTTGTGCTCCATAATGCATCTTTTCATGAACAATAAAAAGAAAGGAGGCTGCATTAGTCATCAGTGCATCCACAGTAGCGTGCTTTCTGCTCTGCTTTGTTAATTACAGGATCAGCTTTCAGTAAATCTCAAATAACAAGCTGCATGTGCTCAGCAGGGCAATGGAAAGATGCCTTGCTCTACACAAAGCCCAGCCACAATGTCGTCCTTCTGCCCCATCTCCAAAAAAGGACTCTTAGGGAACCAAAGAGAAGAGAGAAACAAAGGGATGGGGAGGCGAAGGGAAAGTTCAGTAACCTCACTAGTCCTTAGTGTGTGATAAAGGATGTGCATGGAAACCTCGAAGTGCAAATGTTAACTACTTCCAGAAAAAGGAAAGTGTGTTCTGCACTCTTTAAAATCAAACAATGATCCCGAGAGAAACCCACCATCGAACTTCTCTGGAACAACACAGGTGTCATCATAGAACTGCCTGGGGCCCTTTTCAAACATGCAGCCTGTTGGGGGAGAGCAGGAGATGGTTATTAATGATACAATATGAAATTAATCTCTCAGTTTTCACATCAGTCGGATGGGAACCAGACCTGTTGATAGAACTGAGTAGATTTTGTGCACTCCAGTTTAGAAGGGCACCTTAGCATAATGATGTGTAACCAGCAAAGATAGGCTGACCTGACCACAGACCTTGCCAAAATGCTGGAAGACCTAAGGCTTTATAATACATCGTTTTATTTTCTGGCATCTTCTGGTATTGTCCTGGCACTCAAAAACTGATTTAGTTTACCATTTACTTTCTTGCAGAAATCTAAAAAAGATAACCTTCTTACTTTAAAATCATTTTTATCATACTTTGCATATGTGCTGTGCACACAACACAGCATGGGCCTGAAGGCTAGAGGACAACTGGCAGTACTGGACTCTCTTCTTCTGCCATGTGGACTTGTGGACTGAACTAAGCTCGCCAGGCTGCATAGCAAGCGCCTTCACTCACTGAGTCATCTGACTCACCAAGACCTTCCCATCATTAATAGCCAATAGAGTAAGAAAGGAGTTTTATTGCTGTTTTTGTTTTATGATGTAACATAACTCACAGGAAAAGTAAAAATAAACTGATGTCTTTTAATAATCATTTTCTCTCACACATATACTTGATTTCACCTCATTGTCACCTTTAATTATGGGATGAGATTTCAGACAATCTAAACATAACTTGACTTCTCAAATACAATGCTCTTTACGGTAGGTTGATAATATTAATAACACCAGCAACAGTAATTATGTCGTTGGGGCAAAGCTTTTGCTCTGAAGTATTCAAGATTTACTGTCTTCTCTTGTCACTTAAACATCTATTAACATCATTCACATATCATGGATATTAATCCTAACTGAAAAGGTTCTCTCTATGAAGAAACATATTGTTTAAGCCATAGTTCTAGCAATCCTCCAGGAGATAATATCCACATAAAGTCATTTCTCATCTATTACTTTTCAGATGTCAAAATCTATTAGTGTAGAGAGTTTCACTGTGGTTGGTTACCTGAAATAATATCTCCACTGCACAGCTTATGTCATTCTATTCTATTCTATTCTTTCTTTCTTTCTTTCTTTCCTTCTTTCTTTCTTTCTTTCTTTCTTTCTTTCTTTCTATATTTGAATTACAAACAAGATTGAATTACATGAGGATCCCAGTTGCCTTCTCCCTCCCTTCTTCCTCTATCACCCCCCCAACTAAAATCCTACCTGTCATATGTCCTTTCTTCTAATCTACAACTGACTCAAAATTTCTGCTTCCTCATGACCTCTGCATCCTTCCTTTTCTTCCCTTCTCACTCTCGTAGCTTCCTCCCCCCTCTTCCCATGTTCTCAATTTGCTCAGGGGATGATAAACCTTTCCCCTTCTCCAGGAGACAAAGCTTGTCTCTTTTAGGGTCTTCTTTATTTACTAGTATCTCTGGCCATGTGGATTGTAGGATGGTAATCCCTTACTCTATGTCTAAAATCCACATATGAGTGAGTACATATCATGTTTGTCTTTTTGTGATTGGGTTACCTCGCTCAGAATGGTTTCTTAATAAGTGACTTTTCCATAAGGTACAAAATCCAAGGCATTGAAAGGCAAAAATCATTCTACTATGTTTTACTACAAAACTGTGACTTTTGTTTATAAGGTCATGACTGAGTTATTCTTCAAGATCTATGTTGGTAGAGTGGAGTAAGGTGCATAATCTGAAAGACCAATTTCTAGTTAAAAAGATTTCCAGGTGCTGGCAGAAAAGAACCCAGCTATTTGTGTGGACAAGACTCACGCTAACAACCAAGGACAAGCTACCAAGACATCAAAGATTATCCATTCATTTTCAAAAGACAGGGTGTGGTTTGTGTTTATTTTGCTTACTAGGGACTGACTCCAAGGCCTTGAGTATATTAGCAAAGCACTTTGCAGTTGATCGTCCCCAGACCCCAAAGGATAATTTCTAAAATAATGTTTGAGGAACATAAATGCGTTTTCCCAAAGCACACAATGAATGAGTAAGACAATCCCAATTTGGAATGTGTGATTATTTTTAATGTTATTTAAAAAAAATGGAGAACTTAACTTCCGTTCTGCTTGGATGAGCCAGGAAGCCTTCTTGCCTCATATAAATGGAGTGGCAGCTAGGCACTTCTGAAAGAAAAAAACAAAATTTCTCAAAGAAAGGCAGGTTAGAAGGCCAGGACAGGTGGACGGTAGATAGAAATGCACCAAAACCTCAACTGTCGAGATAAGCAAGTCGGTCAATATATGCTGAACATTTTCAGTGGGGTCCTCAAGAAAGAGAAGCTTAATGTATCACAGTGAAGGGAGACTCCCTTCAATAAGCAGGTGAGAATAGTTTTACCAGCTCAACTTTGCTGAAGTTTAGTAATACCACACAAACGGCTGTCATACCAGTGTGTTTAAGGGCAAGTGTAATTAATTTATATACATACCCTACATTACTCTATGTGCACTGCAAAATGCAAAGGCTCAGTTATGGATGACTTCACAAATAAATTACTGAGAAACAATAGAATAATTAAATCTCATGAGTTATCTTGAGCCTTTTAAGGTTTTTATCAGTCTTTCTTAGATAACAGCATATCTGGCTTTTCATTTTTATTAAGAATAGTGATCATGTTCAAAGCTCACAATAAATAATTTCATAATGCCTGTGCTAAGAAAAAGCCCCACCTACAGGGTCCAAGGATCTGGAAGAGAAAACAATCATGGCTAGCTGTGAAGCTCGCCTCACAGTGCTGACTGAGAACTGAACATGTTCAACGATTTTGATAGGGAAAAACAAAGAAAACATGGGTCAGGAGACATAAGATTCCAATTCAAGTCCTTATTACTACAGAAGCTACTTAAGTTTGGACAAACTTTTTTTCCCTGTATTTCTATAAAATAAAGAGTTGAAAGATATTTCCTGACACCTATTACAATTCTAGAGCTCATTGGTGATGAGGGTTTACTGACTAAGAAACCAGAGACCGATGATGCATGGCAAGCCTCAACATTAAAGGCCTTCCTGAATTTTAGGAGTCCCTTGTGAGCCCTACCTAATACCTAATTTTGTACTTCATTTTTATTTATTTTCCTTAAAAATAGTTCTTCAAAATGCAAGTTTCAGATCTGTCAAATTGAGGCCTACCTTGAATGTATAAACACTTGATTAAGTCAATTGTGTATGTTTTTTCTGTTTTGTTCTTTTTTCTTTTAGCAACATTAATAAAAAGAAAAGGAAATGTGTACCCCAACTGCAATACTTAGTACAAAAAAAAATCCATCTTTCCCAATGCTTGTCATTCAAGTATCCCACCCTTAAAGAATGAATCTCAAAGCTCAGTCTCTTCAGACCTGTCCATCTACACACTCATTTTAACAAGAGATAATAAATACACTATATACGGCCTGGTTTATACCTTGGTCTAGAATTTCCCATTTTCAAAGTCAGTATTTTTGTTTGTTTATTTGTATGGTCTGATGGCAAGTGATAATTTTTCTGGCCTAATGATTAACATCAACAAAAATATGAGCAATTTTAACATAAAATATTTAAACCATATGGTTTCAACAGTAAGATATAATTATAACAACATTTTAAAAGCATAGTTTTGGTGGTACATGCGTATAATCCCAATAGTCAAGAGGCTGGGGAAGAAAGATTGTGAATTTGAGACCATTCCAAATTACACAGAGCGACTCTCTCAAAACAAAACAAAGTCAGGGATGTAAGAGGCTGGGCATACAGTTCAGCAGGAGAATCCTTGCACAGCATGGACTAGTCCTACGTACAATCCCCAGCATCAGGGAAATAAAATTAAATACTTATAAGAAATAAAGGCACATAAGAAAGCATAGTTTATGTGTCGAGGACAGTGGAAAAGTTGCACATACACACTTTTCTATAACATGGTTTATACAATTTATTATACAGTGCTTAATTCTGAGTCTGTGAAGGTAAAGTGACTCTTTTCCTGACAGTATTGATAATAGGCCAAATAGCAATCCACTTCATTCCAACTTTAAGCTAATGATGAGCCTTCCAATTAAGTTTTAATGTCATTCTGATTTATTGCCAGGCAGAAGGTCCCTCAAAACAGCTGGTCCTAGAAGGGACAGTGTTAATGACTGCAGTCAGTGCAACAGCTGCTCAGGGGCAAGCATTTTGCTATGTTGATGTTGATACCAGGCCACAGAAATACTCTTAGTGACTGCTGCACACCTGGAGTATGACTGTAAGAACAGCTGGCAGGCTCTGAGGGAGCTAAAGGAAAAGACAGAGGCTGAAATCTATTACATAGAAGTGTGACTGTATGTGCTATCCAGCCCAGAGGGGGAGAAAAAGAGGAAACTCAAACATTTCTGAGGAATCCAGTATTCAAGACTGAAGGACACTTATTGAGTATTCTAATGTGATGTAAAATTAGTGTAATCCTGGAAATCTAGACATAGTGTCAGACATATGTTATGGAAAATTTGTCTAATTCTCCTCATTTAGAAAAACAGCTGATGTCTCTATTGCTGTTCTTACACTGTACTGTTCTTCCAAAATTCTAGGTCTACTTAGATATTTAAAACACATAGTTCTAAAATTTATTTTAAACATCAGACACATATAATAAGGCTCAGGCCAGAAACTTCATTACAGTTTTCATAATACCAATGTGTAATTTACATTTTTAAGAAGACAATGGGTGGCAATTTATGGAGAGAATTGTGCATTTCCAAATCCTGCCATTTATGACACAAGTATAAGTAAAATTGGCAACTAGTTTTTAAAGGCAAGGCCTTGGCTAGCATTTTTAAATCCAGTCTGCTCTTTAAATGGATGCCATTTATATAGTTTAGAGAAGCCAGAAAAAAATTAAATAAAAGAAAAAGCTAGGAGGTTTATTCACATAGAATAACTGAAGTCATGTTATTCTAAAGTGATATCAGTTAATTTATGACTATCAGAGTGGGTCAGACTCTAATCAAATTGTAGAAACATTTCCAAAGTGATTATTCAATCAAATGACTAACATGGTTAATTAGGGGCCGTAAACATTGCTCTGAAGTTCATCAAAGTAATGACTTGCCCAGAAAAATTACTGCTAATTAAATTGCCTGCTGCTTTCATTTCTACCTTATCTAATAAAAAAAAGTCCAACTGGTGAGACATGGCATTCCATTTGAACTTTTGCTAAATGTTCAATGAAGATCCAAGCTGGACTAAGTGGTGACTTCAAAGGACAATATTTGGTGACAGAGAGTGGAGGTGTCACTGTGCAGGGCCTTCCACTCTCCTGTGGAAGGAAGAGCAATGCAATAGCAACAACTCACTGTAACATGACCTAGGCAAACATGCTAGGATGGCAGAACACTGACACTATCCCATCTGGCATCCTCTGGTTAAAATTTTAGGACGACCAGCTCAGCATAGTGATTGCCAGGAACCACTTTATCACCTACTAGGCACAAATTCAAGTCTAAGGTCTCTTGTTTAATGGGAGTGTAGCTTTTGTCAGGTTAACAGCTTTTTCCTCCACCTTTTCATCTGTAAAATGGGAGTGCTTGTGATACTTTTCGAAGTGATGTTAAGAGGAACATAGAGTTGCATGTAATATTCCCACTAGTATACACAGAATTACATATTTCAATAGTTTACTTATATACCTTAATTTCATGTTCCTAAGTCCCATGAACTATTTGATTTATTGGTTACTAGTGTAGTTATTCGGGGATAGACTCTGTAATTCTATTTCTTAATCTATTATATCTAAAAATATATTGATTAAACAGTCATCATGAATGTATGATTAAGCCAGAATTTCCACCAGACAATTTAAATACTCAAGGATCCGTTTTAGAACTTCATATTTTTGCAATATTAACTCTTGTTGTTTGTTCTTAAACAACACTGACTTAAGAAGTTTAAAAGTCAGTCTATAAATTGGATTATGTAAATTGAATTTAGGACAAAGGATTTTTATTGATGTAGAAACTTGTGGATCAAAGCATTCTAAAACACGATATTAGTGCTGACCAAATCAGCTCACAGAAATCACAGTGCCTGTAATTTGTTACAGATGAGCTCTTGTGGTGATGACAGCTGATCTAATATGCTGTAAAAATTCAAAGCAGTCAAGTGCTGCTGGCATCTCCAGGCTTCCATGCATGGCGGTGGAATCAAGAACAAAGCACTGCAAGTCCCCAAACTGTCTGCTTGGGTTAGGCTTCATGCAGTATTACTATTAAAGGCATCAGATTTGAAGTGATACAGAAAGTATCACCTCATACCAAGATACACGTGCAAGAAACTTAAAAGAAAAAAGCTGTTTTCTCCCTTTGCCTTACAATGTAAAGCTATGCTGGAAAATACAATACTGACATGGGAAGATTTACCAAAAGTTTTACCACAAAATGCAGTTTTGAATTCGAACACATAATATGCCTAGCACTCCTTTGATTTGCATATTTGCTGCTCAGTTGTACAAAATGAAAATTTCCCCTAAGGTATCATTTGTGTAAGATTCCAAAAGCTACTCCAGAGATGGAAGATTAGTCATGATTGGGCAGGGCATTTTTAGTGGTTGCTGAAACTCCTTTGTTACCAAGTAGTGTGTAAACCTGGACCACCTCATATAACAAAGGGAACAAGGAGGTTGGAAAGGGAGGCTCCTTCATTCGGTGTTTTTGCCTGGATCCCTGCAGTGATAATCAATGTACAACTAAATTCAGCTTTCAGATGGCTAAAGGTAAATGAGAAATCCCAGGAAGGTAGGAGTTGCTCAGGACTCCTTTGCTTTCCTTTAAATAAGAATACAAATGTTGGCTGGCTGTATACTTTGACTCCTTGTAGGAGTGATATGATTAAGTAACATCCACATGGAACTATTCGTTTGTTCATTCATTCACTTTTACGAGAAAGTCTCATTCTGTCCTTCTGACTGACTCTACCTAGTACTGGGATCACAAGCATGAACCACTGAGCTAAGCTATGTTCAGTACATATGGATAATGGGAGAAAATTTAAAATGCTAAACATGCGAAGTAAAATGATGTATTCTGTAAAACACACATCTGCAAGTAGTATGCATATAGTATTACTTCGTAAGGCATATTTGTATGAGTGTGTGTGTGTGTGTGTGTGTGTGAGAGAG